CACAAAGTGCTTGGATCGTGCTCTTTCTTCTATATATAATAAAGTTCCACACTCTCTACCGCCAACACTGCACTATGTGAAAAATAAGTGTCCTTGCCCTCGTGGGACCATACTCACCAAACGGAAATGATCACCCTAGCTTATACCAAGGTAGGTCTATAAGACTTGTTTCACAACTCTGCTGAGCATGGCAATTCTCTCCTGGTCTCAGCCTCTATGACACTATGACACAAGTCCATAAGACAGCTCACATGCAAGGAAGGATTCAAGCAGAGAAGGATCTCGCAGAGCATAGCATTTATTTTAAAACCAACAGGTTAGAAAAAGTTTAAAAACATTCACAATCTCCGGTGCCTACTCTGCCACCCCGGAATCATCTGCCGAATAATGTATATGTATGTGTTTTGCAAAGAAAATCCCCGATCCTCCTCTTCTTGGGTCCTCCAACAGCGTTCCTAGCCCCTCCCTACTGCCAAGGTCCCCTATAGCAAGCAGTTTGCTATGGGGGCACCTGAGCCGCTGCTCAGTGTGTCCTTTCACACACAGACATGGCTCTGCCCCTCCCTATGCTCTCTTCTCATTAGCTCACTGGCTGTATTTGACATTAGCGGGAGCCAATGGCTCCAGTTGCTGTCTCAGCCAATGAGGAGTGAGAGACCCGGGACAGCTTCTTCTCTCGTGCACATCACTGGATTGAGATGATGGGCTCAGGAAAGTATTGATGGGGGGGGGGGCACTACACACATGATTTTTACCTTCATGCATAGAATGCATGAAGGAAAAAAACTTGAGCCTTTACAATCACTTTGAAAGCCTATACCTAACTTCAAAAAGAATCCCATTGAAGTTTAAAGGGGGCTGTGAACAGAACTGTGTACAGCTATGCACCACAATTCATATTGCAGAACCCAGCTTTTGCATTCAGTGCATTGCGACTGTGTGTGTGTGCTACTGTACACAAATAGCGGCACGTAGCTGCATATAGCCACCCATAGACATAAATGTATGAAGCGAGTTCCCGCTAGTGATTTCTGAGTGCGATTCACACACAGAAACTTATGTTGCACATAGGGCAGTCTGTTCACTTGAAGTGGCTGCCCTATGCATGATTATCACTCTAAAGAAGTTCATTTTGGCTCTGAGCAAAATCACACTGCTTTTGGGGTGTCATTAAGTATGAATGGTACCCAAACATGTGTTGCACGTTTTGCCAAGTTTTAAAATAGCATGCAGAATCTTGGTGATTCTGCCCGTGATCCTAAATTGTCCATATGTGATAGGGGTCTAAAAGATAGAAACTTGAGTGTGGTTGAATATGGGGTTCATTCAGAACAGAGACCAGTCACTGGTGGTGTAGCCCAAGGGTCTGTACTAGGTCCTGTTCTATTTAATCTATATGTAAGTGACTTGTAAGCAACTTTCAGCAAACTAGACCCTCCAGCTAGCCTAGCTGAGGTCTCTACGAACTACAAGCACATGACACACTTGCCTACGGGTAAATAGCACCCCTAGGCTGTGATGTCCTCCTCATGGAAAAAACAACTCTGTTCCAGGTATCAGGATATTTATACGGACTCCCAGATACCATCTGAGCAACTCTCCCCAGAAATTGGTCAGGGCTGCATAAATATTCAGCTGCCAATTTGACTGTTGTGGACCACTACCTTCTAGAATATTTCCAGACAACCCTGACCCCAGTGAAATACAAAACAGACCAAACTAATCACATGCAGCTGCAATGATTACAGTAAGCCGGAACTAAACAACCCAACCTAGAAGAGTGGTAAACTCTTGGAAAGTGCAGCTAACCCTCACCAAACCCTCGGGTACACTGCACAACTCCTACAGGGCGGTCAAGCCACACTGCATCAATGCAAAAGCAGCCTTGGTCTGAAGTGTGAATTGGCCAGCAGTAAAAATTCTGAAGGAACCCTCCGCATATTACTATATACCCTTTCCAGGAAACTTTGCAATGAAAATAGGGATATTTAGTTCATTCAGAATTGTTTGCATTAATATGTGGTTACAGTATTGAGCACCTTCAGTTTTCACTATTTCAAAAAAAGACGCAATTTAAAGTATTTGTTATTTATTATAACAAAAGATGTTGCTCTGAGGGAAAATATTGTGTGATTAAATGATTAAACAAAATAAGTGTTATCTCTATTTATATAACATTTGTAGTAAAATTCATGTCAAATGGAATAAATAGTGTCCATAGATCAACATAATCCAATGATTAAAAAGTGTCCATAAATCAACATAATCCCGTGATAAGTACTGCACCACCACCAAACACAGCCTCTTACCAGAAAATTAGACCCCCAAGCCATAGGAGGTCTGTACAGGCCCGAAGCTCTGTGTGATCGACTTGGATTTTCCAGCCATAAGGTGTTCCGGTGTTCTGATATCCTTCCTCTTTAAAAATGAACCTCTAAAATGCAAAGAAAGATCTCTATAGTGAGGTACCGCAACGGTTCATTGAATAAAAGCTAAAAAATTCTACTCACAGAATGACAATTTAAAATATCGCATTCAGAGAACGCTGCTGGTGCCAAGTCCAAGTAGCGAGAGTGATGTCAGCATAGACTCCTCCTCCCCTACTTGGGGTACAGTAGTCCCACCTCCACAAACTCTGACTCTCTGGGCCTCTCACACTGCCTGCCATTCAGCAGGCTCCACCAGTAAGGCAATCCAATGGGAATCTTTAAGGGGAGGGGACACTGAGAAGAGGGGAGGGGCTTGACTGAGCCTCTCAGTGGATCACTGAGAGAATGAGCCAGGTGCCAATACAGACATCTGAATGGATCCCGACATTAAAGTTGGGTTCTTTCTCCAGCATGGACCAGCTGAGTGCCATCAGCCAACAGTGGACTTTAGTCTGAGTCACTCCTGCACTCCTTTGATCCACAACTTTGGCTGTACTTCTCATTTAAGAGGGTGCTGATATAAAGGGATGCAGAGCTAATGGGGGGGGGGTCCTGACTGCCGATCTAATGCTTGGTGACCAACCTCTAGAGTAGCAGTCAGTACCCCCCCCACCTTAGAGTCCCCCTATTAGATCAGTCTCCTTATATCAATGCTTCCCCCTTAAAGAACACTTATTATATCAGAGTCACCTTATATCAGCACCCCCCCCCTTACAGATCCCTGTTAGATCAGAGTCCCTTCATATTAGCACCCCCCTAAGAGACCCCCTCATTATATCAGAGTCCCCTTATATCAGCACCACCCTTACATACCCCCATTAGATCAGAGTCCCTTCATATTAGCACCCTCCTTAGAGACCCCCTCATTATATCAGAGTCCCCTTATATCAGCATCCCCCTTACAGACCTCCATTAGATCAGAATCCCTTCATGTTAGCACCCTTCTTAGAGACCCCCATCAGATCAGAGTCTCCTTATATCAGCACTTCCCCCTTAAAGACCACTTAATATATCAGAGTCACCTTATATCAGCATCCCCTTACAGACCCCCCATTAGATCATAGTCCCTTCATATTAGCACCCACCTTAGACAGCCTCCTCATTAGATCAGAGTCCTCTTATATCAGCACCCCCTTACAGACTCCCATTAGATCAGAGTCCCTTCATATTAGCACCCCCCTTAGAGACCCCCCATCAGATCAGAGTCTCCTTATATCAGCGCTTCCCCCTTAAAGGCCACTTATTATATCAGAGTCACTTTATATCAGCAGCCCCCTTACAGACCCCCCATTAGATCAGAGTCCCTTCATATTAGCACCCCCCTAAGAGAGACCCCCTCATTATATCAGAATCCCCTTATATCAGCAACCCCCTTATTAAAAAAAAAACGCATCCCATGCTCCCCTGTTATTATGCTAATCCATATGTGAAAAAAGAATTGTGAATGATAATGGAAACCCCAATGGTAAGCCAAGTATTAATGCACTACAATCTTACTCAAACACACTGTATCTACTGTGCAATCTTGCTACACATAATACTATATGAATAGTGGTGGAAACCTCCAATCCATTCCAAAATGTGTTCTGATAATCTCCAACTCAAAAGGACTTTATAAGTTGGAGCCAAGCCTCCCCTTGGCTAAGTATGAACTGCCACTGATAGGCAGGCAGAAATGGCAATGTAGTGCCTATAATATTAGTCCTGCAGTAGTGCCTGTCTGACAGTGGCAGTTGCAAGAGACAAGACAAGAAAACAAAGTCACACTGCTGCATTCACTTGATTGGATTGCGTTCAGAGGCAGTAGTGCTTGCCAAACACAACAAGGAGGATCATTTTTGCCCAGATCCTGAAGCAAAGCATCGCAGTCATGTTATGTGTACATACAACTTTGTCTGGCCCTATTTGTAGCTTAAGGGGGGGGGGGGGGGGCAGTCAGAGGGCAGTAAAAACTTGATGCAACCACCTGCTTTTACCGCTCCTCCGCCTTCTTGAACACAAGTGTAAAAGAGTCCTAACAGGAATTTTCTGTACTTGCAGGGTCTTTAACTGGATAAATTCTGTAGAAATGAACATGTATTGCAGAGATGGACTGCTTCTGTTTTTTATTCTGACATACGCTTTAACTGCTTGCCCAACCACCTCACTTATGAGTACGGCAGCAAAGTGGCTCTCCTGCACTGGATCACGTGTCAGATACATGATCCGGCTTTTCCGGGTAGGGGGTGTGCACTCGCCGCTATGGATGTGCTGTGGTTAGTCACAGCACAAGCCAATCATCGGGTCCCAGCCAATGATTGCTGGCCAGCACCCGCTGATCGGTAAAGAGGAAGACAGGACAGAGCTCTGTGAATGTAAACAACACAGAGCTCTGCCCTATCAGCAGGGATGTGCTGGTTTTTATGTTTTGCTAAACAAACCAAAAACAGTTTTTTCTTAGCTTCTGTTTTACAATTTTGTAAATAAATGATTTTTCTCCTTCACTGATGTGTGCTAATGAGGCTGCAGTGATGGGCACTGATAGGCTGCACTGATGGGCATTGATGGGCATTGATGAGGAGGCACTGGTAGGTGGCACTGATGGGCACTGAAAGGCAGCACTCATATATTGCACTGATCGGTGGAACTGACTGGCACTGTTAGGTGGCACTGACTGGCACAGTTAGGCGGCACTGATAGGCAGCACTGACGGGCACTGTTGCACACTGATATGTGGCACTGACTGGCACTGATAGGTGGCACTGAAAGGCAGCCAGATGGGCACTGATGTGTGGCACTGGTAGGCACTGATATGTGGCATTGATGTGGCACTGATGGGCACTGACAGGTGGCATTGATAGACACTGACAGGTGGCAATAATGGGGCTACACTGATCATCAGGGCACACTGATCATCAGTGCCCTGATGATCAGAGTATATGTCCCCTCTGAGTGATGCCAATTACTGGCTCTCCTCTCCTCACGAGCTGTCAGCGTGACAGCTCGTGAGGAGAGAAATTTCCTTATTTACATGCAATCAGCTATGCTTGGACACAGCTGATCACATGTCAGAGCCAACGTCTGCGGCTTTTTTCATTGATCAGTGATCCGCTGTGTCCCAGGGACTCAGCGCACCACCGATCACCGCGCTGCACGCTCCCGGGGGCGCACACGTGCGGAAAGAGTGGAAGGGCGTCATATGAGGCGTCATATACGCCACCCACTGCCATCTTCTTATATGGCAGGCGGGAGGTGGTTAAAGATAGTATTTTAGGGGTTTCATTTATTTTGCTGGTATATTGGTCTTTATTTTATATTGCTAGGGCCTTTATTGTAGGTTAAATCGTAAGTTTAGTTAATATTTCTCTGAACAGGGCAGCCACCAGCACAAGCAACACTCATTTAATATAAGAACTATCCCTTGGGCTGCTTAACCTCATAAAATCCCAGCATCAAACCGCTATGTTGTAGGAATTTATGTGTTATACCGGGATGATACCTGCATTTACAGACATTTTCCTGCTATCTGTGTTTACAGCTGGCGATGGACTGTTTTGTAAAAGTGATCCTAGCGGCTAATTAGCAACTGGATCACTTTTACAGGTGTTGGAAAGGAGTCCACCACTACCACTGCATTTGCAGGCTCTCCCGTCCCATCAGGGACCCCAGATCTCTCAGAAACGAGTTCCTGTCACTGCTCATGCTATCACAAGAGAATGCTGAAAGCAATAAAGCTGATCAATAAATAAATAAATAAAAACACAGTGCAAAAATAAACAAGGTAAAATAAATAGTAAAATTGAAAAACAAATGTAGGTTCTGCACACATACTGTATGTAAACAGCAATTGTACCACACATGTGAGGTATCACTGCGAGCTTCAGAGCGAGAGCAATTATTCTAGCACCAGACCTCCTGTGTAACTCTAAAACGGTACCCTATAAACCCTTTTAACCACTTGCCAGCTGCACTATAGCCAAATGACGGCTACAACGTGGTTGTCCAGTTCTGGGAGGCCGGTATATGACGTCCTCCCAGAACACGCCCTCCAGCGCCCCCAGCGATCTCTGTGATGTGGTAAAAGGCCAATAACACAGCAGATCACCGGTAAATGCAGTTGCTGGTTATCTGCTGCACTTTCCTCAGGCTGTCACAGCGTGAGGAAAGTACTGCTGATAACCAACAATTGTCAGAGGACGGATTGGCACCGATCATCAGGGAACTGATAATCAGTGCCCTGATGATCAGTGCCCAGCAGTGCTGCCCACCTGTGCCCAGCAGTGCCGCCCACAAGTGCCCATCAGTGCCAACCACCTGTGCCCATTAGTGCCCATCAGTGCCACCCACCTGTCCCATCAGTGCCTAGTAGTGCCACCCACCTGTGCCCAGCAGTGCCACACACCAGTGTCCCATCAGTGCTGCCCAGCAGTGCCAGCATCAGTGCCCAGCAGTGCCACCAGTCAGTGCCCAGCAGTGCCGCCAGTCAGTGTGGTCAGTTAGTGCCACCCATCAGTGCCCAGCAGTGCTGCCCACCAGTGACACCGATCAGTGCCAATCATTGTTGCATATCAGTGCAGCATCATCAGTGCTGCCTCATCAGTGCCCCCTATCAATGTTGCCTATCCGTGCCACCTCATCAGTGCCACCTATCAGTGCTCATCAGTGCTGCCTATCACTGCAGCCTCATCAACACACATCAGTGAAGGAGAAAAATTACGTTTGCAAAATTTTATAAGTGAAACAAAGAAAAACTTTTTTCAATTTTTTTGCTCTTTTTTTTTTTTTTTTACAGTGCAAACAATAAAAACCTAGCAGAGATGAAATACCACCAAAAGAAAGCTCTATTTGTGTGAAAAAAAAATTATACAAATTTCATATGGGTACAGTGTTATATGACCGCACAAATGTTATTCAAAGTACTGCAGCACTGAAAGCTGAAAATTGGCCTGGACAGGAAGGGGGTATAAGTGCCCGGTAGGTAAGTGGTTGAAAAAAAAAGTAAAATTTTCTCTAAATTGAAGCTTTGCAGCAAAAAAAAAAAAAAAAGAAAAAAAAAAGCTCATTATGGGGAAAACTGCAGCTTAAAGTATTGTCTGTGGATAATTAAATGTATGTAGTTTGTTGCCATTCCACTGGCATGCCCAATTTTAAAGTGTGAAATTTTTGGTATCTATTTACTCAGCATTCCATTATATGTTATAGTTTACCAAAAAATGGGTATTATATTATGTTTGTGTATTAAACTTCATTAAAGTGTATTTTTTTCCTAGTATTTTTCGCTGTGCAAATACTGCATGACTTAAAAATTGCAACACCCGCCATTTTATTTTCTAGGGCCTCTGCTTAAAAATTATATAATGTTTGGGGGTTTTAAGTAATTTTCTAGCAAAAATACTGATTTTTACATGTAAACAAAAAGTGTCAGAATAGGCCTGGTCTTAAATAAAAAAAACTTAAGTTTTTAAACTTTTTTTTTTCTGCAAGCAGGGTTATATTTCAGGGATAGTATTTTGGGGCTTTCTTTTCTTTTGTGGAATTTATTATTATTATTTTACTATTCTGTGGAAAAACACAGTGTCAACAGTACTAGGGTTGTCAGTTCAAATCCCAATCACCGCACCACCTGCCTGGAGTTTGCATGTTTTCCTGTGCCTGTATGGGTTTCCTCAGGGTACTCCGTTTCCTTCCACACTCCAAAGACATGCTGATAGGCTCCTGTCTAAAATTGGCCCTAGTATATTTATGTATGAATGTGTATATATATGTAAAGTGCTGGTAAAGTGCAATATAAGTAACTGTAATAAAATATAAGTAATAAAAACACAACATTTGGGATTTGCTTTCACTTTCAATGACAACAGTAAACATGACAAATAGGGAGAGTAAATAATCTTAATGGAGACACAAACAGTAATAAAAACTGTTCCCTCTCCACTCAATCCAAAACTAATAATAAAGAAAAAAGTTGCCTTTAGTTATGCTTTAATTATTTTAGTCAAGCCCCAGCGTGTGCTCTGTGTCTTTAGTTAATGTGGGCTTTGCCCTACTATTTAAAATTTTTCTGCTGCTGGTAAATAATATGCTGCTGTATCTCTTCTTACTATAATTGAGAGTAAGATCAAATTGGCCAGCAGCATGACTGGGGTATTGCCTATAACTCAGCTGCTATGACACCAACCACCCACTTCTAATACCACCCCCCCACTTACCGTTAACATAATAATAAAACATGAAACACTTGACTTTGGAATTTAAATGGCCATAGCAGCCTTTTTATTTAAATAACATCAATAACAAAATACATACATCAATTTTCATCGTATGTAAAACCATAACAAAAAATACCGCAAATGATAGGTTTTTGAAGGCACGGAAAACTAATACCCGGCTGTATCTGCCACCATCTTACAAATTAAGGACCCCAGCTACACGTACACCAGCTTGGGGACAACTTCTTGCTAAGTTACCATCCAACGCAGCCCCACCAATCCAAGAACCCATTCCTGCAGCACTTAGTAGGGAAGGTATGCCTAAGACGGGCCCAACCCTTTTCTTCCCAAATTGTTTACCATCCCCGCCTTCAAAATCCTTGATACCTCTGCCACCAGACCTCAAGTGTAACACTTTATACTTGAGCGGCCCTCCACACCCACAGCGCACATTGTATTCCATCCTGCAAACCCAAACACCACAGGTCTATCCCCACCACATTCAAATGCACCCCATCACCACACAGAAAAAGCCACAGTTCCTGTTCCAACTCTAAATGGTGAATCGCCAAACCACCATTACGCACAAAGAATCTGGCCACTTTCCTTGTTAACTTTAATCCTGGCCTTGTTAAAACGTTCCACTGACCCGGTCATACACCAGGAAGACCTGCCCACAATATCAGACCAGATCAGAATAGAATCCGGAAAAAACAACCGAAAGCGAAGGAAATCAAATTTGCTGTCCCTGATTAAGTCTTGCATGGAGCCCAAGATCATTTCCTCCCACATGGAGCACCAGAACATCCGGGGATCTATCTAATCACAAATAATGATGCACGTATGGCAACACTCTGGACCACAACATACCGGGAACCCCAATCCACCTCACCCTGGCCACCCCCCTAGAAAAACCCAATTGCCTGCCCTCCGGGCACACAGCCGCTCTTTTAGCCCCCCAGTAAACATAGGAATGGCTGAGGATCCACACCAAACATTCATATCCTAGAAAACAAAGAAAAACAGAAAAAATTTAATGAGGTACTGCAACCACCACGAACAATAGCACAGAAAAAACACTGACCCAAACCAACACAAAAAGCGAACCACAAAAACACACTGCTCAAAAAACAAAGAACAGTACAACTTAACAACGTACCTTAACCCCTTACCGCCGATGCCTCCCGGCCCTTTAAGAGATTCAGACGCCGGGAGGCGGGGCGGTTGGGGCGTGGTTTAGGAATCATGTGACCGCCAAGATGACGCGTCACGGCGGTCACATGATCGGGAAAGGTCCCGTTCGAAAGAGCGGACTGGGACCTTTCCGTGAGTAGCACACATGTGTGCTGGGAGCGCGCAGGGCGCGCGCTCTCCGCACATATGTATTTAGTTACATGGACGCAAATGTGCGGCCGCTCGGTGTCTAGGCCCAGACGCCAGGAAGCCGCACATTTGTGTGCGGCCGGCGCAAAGGGG